AAGTCTGCTTCTGTTTGTGCTGGTGCTTCAGTTTCTTCTTCCCGTGTTGTTTCATGTGCAGCAACACCAGGGTCATCTGCGGTAGGTGCTGCTGCATCTTCCGGTTCATAGTTGCCCGGCTCGCCACCCCCTGCAGCAGGAGGCCACTCAGTCTGTGAAGGTTTCTGTTCACCAACGAGGTTCGTTTCTTTGTGGCTCTCTTTCGTCGTCACTGGTGTCTCCTCAACTTTTGGCTCCTCTGGCTTGCTTGGCTCCGCTGCCACTACTTGCGGCTGTTCTTGAGGGGGCGGAGGAGGTGGAGCAACTTGAGGCGGTTGCTCAGGCGGCACAATCTGAAAAACTGGTGGCGGCTGTGGAATCGTGACGGGTTGTGGCTGCAGCTGAGGCTGCTGCGGGCCCGGTGGTTGCTCTGGTGCGCCCGTTGCAACACCCTGTCCTGGTAGACTTGGAACTGCAGTATTTCCTTCAACAGGTAAATGGTTCTTATTTGGCTCGATGTTGCCTTTTGTTCTCAACGACCACGCCAAAACGATAATTAGAAATCCAGCAATGGCAGCTGCAAAGTACGTTCGTTGAGCCTTTGCAGGAAACGCACCGCCGAAAATTCCAGCGCCTGTTGTGGGGCTTGTTTCATATTCTGATTGCACGTTTTCCTCAACTTTGAATGAAAGAGCCTGGAGAGCATCTTCTGCTTCTTTCCCCAGGTCGCCCGAACCCCCAGAAGCCGCCTGTGGGCTATCGGAGACAGCCGCAGGGGAGGTGGCACTCCCCGAGCCACTCTTCCCTGCACTCATTGCATTCAGATGATGTTGTGGTGTTGGTCGGAATGGGGAGGAGCGGCGGGTGTGGGAGCGGCGGAAGTCAGAAGCCAGCTTTCAGGCTCCGAGGGACTGTGGGAGAGGCCAGGTCAGGCCCAGAAAGCTTTGTAACTATTGATATCACAGAAACAATCAGTGCAATGTACAGAAGAATACCAAACATATACAAATCGTTGCTCAGACGCTGGAAAAAATGACACGAACTGTGAATGGGCCTATGATAATCTGTGACTGAACGCCCTGCCCTCTTTGTGCGGGCGATCGCCTGGAGACTGGCAAGAGACAGTCCGAGGCTTCCCCGCAATTTTCAAGGGGTCGATTCCTTCAGAAATTGAAGAGATCGTAGTATGGCTTACGGAAAAAATGTCGTCTGGCGTCTTGTAACCTGTTTGGCTCCCACCCTGTTCTGCATTGTGCAACTACTGTCTGAGCAGCCCTGGGGGCTGTAGCTGCCCACGGGGCGCGCTCGCGGTCTTGATTGACTTCAGGATAAATTGTACTCTTAAGATAGTGAAATTTGGTTTCTAAGAGATTGCCAATTGTTGCCTCGCTTGAATAGAATGCCTCAGGATAATTCTGGCCTCGGCTGCACGACGTCATGCTCGATTGGTGGATGCTGCACCTGTTGCACTTCAAATTCGAATAATCTATGTGAAATTGGAACTTCAGCAGAGTAATTCTGAATTTTCTCATAAGCTTTTTGTTAATTTATGTACGGACGCATGGCTTTCATAACGGGGCCATTCCCCCTGTACCATGCTCGCCTGAAGTTGTGTTGATGGCTACATAAAGGCTCGATAATAGCCTTCAGGGGCAAAATATACTGGCATATAAAATGCATATGCAAATATGCAGCCTATTAAGGTGAAAAGATGAAGCTCCCAGGTTGCTTTGGCACTACATGTAATGCTGCGCGTTGCAGTGCAGCACCCAGGTCGGTCTTGGAGGTCAAACAAACAAGTGAAAAAACACACTCGAGATACCAATTAAGTCAAGTGTACACAAAAAAAGAGATTTAAGGCTGGCTAAACCCCCATAAGTAGGAAATCAAGCTGTGGGTTCAGGGCCACCGGCAAGTGTGCACCTAGACACTGAACACACTATGGGAGCGGGGGCTCTGGAAAATTGGAGCTATTAAAACTCCGTACCTACAGTCCTGCTGTACGTAAGGAGTCTTAATAGCTCCAGGTTTTCCCAACAAAAGTTCTTGCTGTGTCAAGGTGTAATACTGTTTGTGACGGACGCTAAAAGACCTTCTAGGTTGCAAGGCCACGGAATACTGTGGCGGGACTTTCTAATATTGAAGGCTGCTCCGGCATGGCGTGCGCTGTCCTATAGGCCACTGTCGCTGCCGCAGCATGCCGGCAGCCCATTTACGACCCGGCGACAACCTGGCCTCTAGCCAGAGTGAACACACAATCATCAGGAAGCTGCAGCACTCTCAGGTGCGGCCACTTTACAGCCAATGGTCTAACGCGCCTAAACAGGGCATTACTACCCAAGAGGGCTCCATATATGCGTCCAGCAAAACCACAGCAACTGGAAGTTAGGTAATTCATTTCGTATGCATGCTACACAGCAAGCCGGGACAATTGCTGGCCTGGTTTGCATGCAAGTCCTCGCTTCATCGCTGCGGTGCTGCACAATCTGCATATACAAGCGAGCTCTCTTCTAGTGATGGAATATCCCACATTTAGCCTACTAGGCCTCCTACTTCACACTCTGGCGCCTCGTTGCCCCTTTTTGCTATCAAGAAGTTCCCACCGTAGCCTCAGTTGGTTAATCTTATCCGTTTCTTAGTTTCAGGTACCTCCTTCCGTCGTAATTCCATATCTGCAGCCCATTTCACTCATATCCGGAAATGGCTAGGTTCATGCGTACAAATGTTTGCGAGCACTCTCTCCAGATGCAGCCGGAAAAGGCCTCTTGCTATTCATTGGCCCCGCTCATAGTCTGTTAGAAATAGAGCAGTTTGTGGCAATGTCTCCTACTTTATCACATCCCTTGAACTTCCCTTTGAGTATTCTGGCTACATCCATATCACGTTGGTGCCTTGCGCTCGAGCCATTGAAATCACCGCGGTCCCACGACTCGCCGTGGCGTGCTTTCTCCATGCTTTTTCCGAAGCCCTGGACGTCGTGGTAGTCCTCAACTCACCGCTATGTCTCGATATACAGGGGTGCGCCGGTGCGGGCCAGGGTT